TTGCCTAAGCGACTCTTCCTGGTGTTCAGAGCCTAGATAGGACGCCCCCTCCTAATCTCGATAATGAACTTCACCAACAACTCGACTTAGTGTACTGTGGACATACGTGCTCGATAACCACTGCTTGTGACCAGCATTTAGAACGGGATTTCGTGTGGGTCGACGTTGCAACACCCATGTGCGTTCAATCGCTTTAGTGGTCGAAGTCGGCAGTGTGCTGGTGAAAGGTCGTTGTCAAACTATGTTGCGAGCTCATTGCAATTGTGGGGTAATTGAACGCCAAGGGTAGCCACACGACTCGAGCGTCGCCCCCCGGTGGTCGGTCTGCATCGTTACTATTTGGTCTTGTTGTCTACCGGTAGGTACTGCGAAAGTTACGCACAACTGACGCGAGTATGAACCAACCGGGGGTCTTGTTGGATGGCTCTTGACTTTACGACCTCTTGGAAGTCTTGTCATTCTTCAAGTTGCCAGCTATGAAGTACTTCGCCCCTGCGTGCTTGCTCTTGGCCATCTCGACCGCGACGTTGTGGGATTCGGTTCTAAAATTAGAAATCTGGTACATAACTGCTCCAAGGGCATTCTACTCACTTGCCGCGCCACGATGACCGACCACGACCCGCAAAACGACTTTCAGTTCACCAACGAATCGCTCGACAAGTATGCCACGTACGAAGACTACTTGGACTCGCAGATTTCCGAGACGGACATCTTCTACTTGGAAGACGAAGAGCTGGCGCGGCAACTCGTCGAGTTGGGCTACCGAGGGACTGGGGAAACACTTCGACGCGAGGACTTCGACGCGCGGAAAAAGATGGAGCGTGACCGAAATGCACAAAAGACAAACCTTCCCAAGCAGCTCGCGAGTGCCGGCAAGGACTTTTCGCAGCTTGCGTTCCTGTCGGCATTGGCGAATCGCGAAGAGATGGTGCGCAACGGCAAGTTGACGGTAAAGTGCCCTTTGGCTTATCTTTGGACGCGTGGTACTCACGTATATATATATATATATATCATAGATATGTGTGTGTTGTAGTCGATCGTTTTCATTCGAGACCACAATTCCAAAGGTCAAGAAGTCAGCGGGTACATTGACTACGCGCTGCGACTCAAGTCGGAAGCGTTTGAGCCGTACTTTGAGCGCAAGAAGCGACTGCTGCCGAAACCGTCCGACTTGAGCTACTACAACTGGGAAACGCAAACGTGCACGTCCAATTCAAGTCCAAACTTTCAGGTACTTTGAAAGTTGGAGAAGAGGTGTGTTCCGACGAAGGTTGGGGTTTGGGGGTAGGTGATTGCCGACAGCGAAACGGGGCTCCTGTTCAAGAACAAACGGGATCGAAAAGTGATCAACGTCGACCCCAAGGCCAATCCAGGCGACAATTCCACACGCACCGAAATCAAAACCAACGAATACATGCAGGTGGTCATATACGACCACATGACACGCCGCAAGAATTAATTGCGTCATGAGCACTGCTAGCTAGCTAGTACTACTAGTAGTACTGCTCAATATTCGAGCAATGTTTTTTGGCGTTTGGACGACGTATACCGACGTTTTTGAAACGACTGGATGAGGTCGGCCGCCGTTTGAATGGGCGCAGCTTTGCTGTCGCGACGAGGTTTGCCGACTGGGGTTTCGGTGGCTGGCAGGGATTCGGTCGATGCTATATTTATGTACAAACGACGTGAGGTTCGTATTTTTGGCTACTTTTTTCGATGTAGTTCAAAGCAAGCTGCGTACTGCGCACAGGCGGGTGGCGTGGGGGATTCGTCGCTTGATTTCGATGCTTTTCTTTACTCGGTTTTGATACCTTGATGGGATTCGTTGGTGGTGGTTATTATATCCACATACAGTAGTAGGAGATTGTACATACACACACCTGTTCCCTGTGCCGATGAATTTGATGCATGAGCACTTGATACGATTGCCGCAAATGGTGCGTTCCCTCTTCAGTGTCGTGAAGGATGCCTTCGAAATCCGCAATGTCTCGTTCCAACGTGTCCACGCGACTCGCTTGGCCAGCGCTCAACTTTTCCAGCGCATGGATATTCTTTTGTTGCACTAGAATCTGCGACGGCGTTAGATTACCCAGGGAAGAAATGGGCGTACTTGTTGTTGCAAATCGTGTTTGCGCCGCTTGATCGCTGTGAGCTCCTCTAGAGTACCGGTTGCACTTATTGAAGGGGTGCGTGCCTCCATCTCGTACGGTGAAGTTGTTTAGGCCGATTCGTGAACTCTACAATCGCTCCCGCAAACTACACGGCATTCAACAGCAATTGCAAAAACGTCGTAACGTACCGTTTCCACATCGGTCATACACGCTAAAGACGCTATGGTGTTACAATATGTGTCTTTTTAGGATGGATCTCTCGTACCTGGAACGATATCGAGCAACTTGGAACGCTGTCGATCGTATTCTTTTTTTAACGTGTCGACGTCGTTCGAGTCCTACTACCCGTTAGTATAATTATGATGGTGTACGTGCCATGGCGAGTTGAGTGGTAAGGGTGTCAATCTGTTGTTCGATGATGCGCATTTCGGCTAGCATTTCCTGGTGCGTTCGTTGGCATTGCATCTACAACTCCAAGTCAATTATCTCGACCAATAGATCATTCAGAGTGCCTGACTTCTCCCGATCCCATTTCCACGCAGTCTTGTGTCAAGGATCCAATCTCGTCCTTGCAGGCTTCCAGTTCTCGCGTCAGCCGGACAATCTCTCTGTCTTCAACATCTTGCATCTTTGCCAGCATCTATGGATAACGATATCATGAGACCGCGTCTTCTTTCGCTTCATCATCCTACTGCCTCCTCCTGGACGATGTCCAGTACCGGCGGCTCGTCCTTTATGCACGTCATGTTGCGCTTCGCAAAAATCAAAAATGCGCGCGGGAGGTTGCATTATCCGGATAATTGTATCATCCGGTTTCAAAATCTGGGCAAAACCATCACTCCTTGTGACTTGAACCTTCAACTAACAGTATGTACTGACTTGCCCGTCGAAGCGACCCACGCCGTCGCCATCATCACCGATACCAGTACGTTCAAGGAAACTATGCCACACCGCACTCCCGCGAGAGCAATCACGTGCGCACATGTACCCCGAATGCAATCATACTTGATTGTTGTTGCCTCCCATCAGCTCATCGCGGCTGTGTTATCCTCGGACTTGCTTAACTGTGACCTAAGGGCCAAACCACCCCAAAACACGGAGATGCGGGAACTGGCGAAAACTCATAACATGAAGTTACGTAAGGCCAAAAAATCGAGGCATTCATGGTTGGCGAAAGCAATATCTGGAGTTTCTTTGCAGTCATCCAACTTGTTGGAGAGGGACATTGGCTGCTGTACTGACACGATTTCTACAGCTCACTGCAATTGCGATGCCTTGCAGTCGAAATGCCGCCGTGTCACTTTGACAACTGAGCAGTTCCGGATATTTCATTATTTTTGCGGATGCATTATTTTATTGCACATGTGCATGTGTTTTTGTACTCGGACGACATGTCGACATGCGCATATATCGACAATGGACGCAGCTGTGTACTACTTACAGCAATACTACTCGTACTACAAAGATGTCTGTTACTAGCTCAGCCTATGTACATACACGGTTCTCTCTGACATGAGGCATCTTACCCGAATGTACAGGCTTGTACTTGAAATACGACGAATTTGGCAAGTTCGAACTTGTCTTTCTCTACAGCTGTTGATTCAGGTGACATACAACATACAGTAGTGATCTTGGTAGTATTGGTTGTTGGTAGTATTGGTTGTTGTTATGAGGAATAGAGAGTTTCGTGACCCGTTGTGCAGTATGCATTGAGAAATCGCTGACCTGCATCGCGCCTTTCCCGCATGTACAATTTGCAGGATGTATAAATCGTTTTGCAAAACGTAAATAATTATGTGGCAGAATAAATATACGCATACTTAAGACTTACGGGACAGCATTGAATATTAATACCAACCTTGGATACTATGGTTAATACTCCGGAGTACTAGTAGAGTATAATAGAATTATTGAATTAAAAGCGTGGATGACATGTGGATGACATTTGGATGACATGGGATGAAGTTGTGGGATGAAACCTAAAGTAGTGACCAAGCCTTACGTTGGCCCCGAGCGCCCAGGAGGCCGTCTGCGCAAGCGCGGCCGTACGAGAGCGCGGATCTAAGCTTCTCACTTCACCGAATGATCATATCTTTTCTTCTTGTCGGGCAGCGGCAGATAGGCCGTAAGCCGTGCCACTCCCGGAATAGCATTAACGTTATCCTAATTTACTCTCACCTCTACTAATTAGGATATGATCTAATATTAATGTTGGATGACGTTTGGATGACGCATGATACTATCACGGATATTTGAAATCCATATACTAGTAAATACCAAGGACTTACTGGGTAAATATGTATAAATAATTACAAGAATGCTTCACTATTAATAAAATGAAAACTGCAAGAACACATAGATATTTTTAATAAAATAGAAAGGGTCGTGGATGGTCTTTTTTTCGAGTTTGTGCACCAAACTGGTGAAGACTGATTTTTCGCCTTCGCGTCGTTCAATTTTGTGGAGGGTTTTATTTTATTATTATTACAAAAGAAAAAGTATATTTTGCTAGAGTTTGGCGGCAGTCGTTCCACCTATGAATAATTGCAATCGCAGCAAACATTACACAGATTGCATTCCATTTATACAATGCGAGTACCAGAATAGATGTTCGAACCACTCATGGCCTCCGCCGCGAAAACCTCGGACTCGAGTTCCCATAGCCTCTGTCGCGGCCATCGGCAAGCACCACGACATCCTTCTCGTCAGAATCGTAGTCGTCCTCCAGCACGGGCACCATGTGCCTGCCCATGTCTCCGCCGAGAGACTCGTCCAGGGGATTCGTCGTCCCAAGTAGCAGCACTCTCGGGTTCTGCACAATCGGCGGTCCTTCGACGTCTCCCCGCTTGAGCGAGCCCATTGTACACACCACACATACGCACACGTTCATTGTCGTTCGATTCCACCGCTGGCAGCATTTTCGACACACCACCTACACCCTCGTCGTCGCTAGTGCAATGTCGATGTTGAATGTATACTTCAACATACCTCGCCGCATCCGCGACAATTGTACTTGGGCGTAAACACCATGCCAAACTTGATTTGGCATATAAAGCACCGGGAGCGTAGTTCGAACGGAATGAGGCGATGGATGGGCAGCAGTGACTCGGACATGACGTGGCGCAACCGTGTCTCTTGTATCGACGCGTGGAGGTCTCGTAATGCGAAACACCGCATCTTGATGCTGCGACTGAAGATCCACCGCGGCACTTTGCCTTTGACGTTGACCTGCCACGTGCTGACGACTCGAATGTAGCCAGGGCGGTCGTTGGATTGAAAAAACACAAAGCCGCTCAAGTGATGCTCGGCTCGGACGACGCCAAACGTGGATTGCAGGTCGGGACATTGCAGCATCTTGGTCGACTTGTACGCTTGGACCCATCCCCTCGTGCCGTCGACGTCGAATTCGTAACAGCTCTACAAATGAGTTGTATAGGTACTACAGTAGTAGTAGTACTGCACTCACCTCAAGGAAGCACCAGTCGCGGTGCTTGACGATGGCCGGAATCGGGCTTTGTTGGGCGATCCACTTGACGTTGATCGAACGCAGCGGCTGGGACGGCGTGGGAGACGCAATGTTGTACAAGTTCACGGCATCCATGTAGTCCTTGGCAAAGAGGCGGCAGTAGTTGCGGTATTCATCTGTGGTGTTGGACATGAACATGGTCGCGATTTCCTCAATCGTGCCAGGAATCTCGGTTACGCCGCACCAGGTAGACACCCCCACCGAAGCTTTGGGATCGTCGCCCAAGTAGATTTCCACGCCTTTGGATTGAGACTGCAGGCTCCATCGAATGGGTCCATGTTGTAGCCGGGCGTTCCGGACCTATGTACCACCAATAATCAAGTCGAGTAGTTCAATGATGGCACACAACCACCACAACACGCATCATCAGTCGACTAACTAGTAGTTACCACTTGAATGCATGCAGCTTCGCCCACAGAGACTAAGTGGTTGGCGTCGTCGTCGCTGAGCGCAGGGCATTTGAAGAAGTTTGGTGGCAGTGGAAACGTCCATTTGGAACCAAGCATGTCAAGTCTGAACCCAGGCGAAATGTACAGTAAGAACCTTGTCAAGTTGTGCGTGAAACTCATATGGCTACAGTTGTTATAGGTCAAATGCATGTGTTAGCCAATCACATGGATTAAACGATTTGTAAGGCCATATTATAGCCAATGGAAACGCAATAATGAGATTCACGTGTCTGCAGGTTGAGAAAATTCCTGTTCCCAGAACAGTCACGAGTTTTCTTTTCAGTTGAGGTGCCAAAAAATACTCCTAAATTTAACCCGCTTGGATGGGAAGCAAAGTGCAAGTCAAGTATACATAACTTTAAAAGAAATATTAAAATCTCGGTTAAACTATGTAAAGCGGCCGATGGGAATATTTCTCATGCGCAAGTTCAACCTAAGCGTAATAATATACTCAAAATCGCTATTAATATTCCACCCTTTGTCCTGATGAGAAATATTCTCATTGGCAGAGCCAGTTGAATGGCGGGATTTGGATTACCTTTTCATGATTGGCTATCTTGTTCTGAACTCAATCCAAATACTATGATTTAATTGGCTAATCCTGCCATGAGAATATTTCTCATTGGGAAATCTCGTCGTTGATTCCTTCAAATCATGGTGTACCATTTTGTTGAGGGAATACATGCAACTTTAATCAAGTTGTCACGTGCGAGTCAACTAGGAACTGAACCTGCCACTTCCACGGAAACAAACGGCGTACATGCATGCGCTCACAGTAGACAGCTTGAAGGGGCTTCTGATTATTTTATCAGTTTTTCTGGGACCTTGAAATTTTAAATGAAACAGCTGCATATATGCAAATGACCAATGAAAATTGACTTGCTCTATTACATCTCAGATCCTACTACTTCGATCGCTGTCGGATCTGTCGCTCACTGGCATTATGATCGTGCTGTTGATTGATGTACTCCGCAAGCTTGTATAGCTGCCTGTTGGCCTTGTGGATGCAGCCCTTGATGCTTCTTGCCTTCAAGTCCGCAAAGGCTTCCTCGAGCCGAAATGCACATCTTGGAACGTCGTTTCTTGAGTGTACTTCACGTTCACGAGGTAAATAGGATACAAGCATTATAGATTATAGCATAACGTTACCTGACATTTCAAAATGGCCCAAACTATCTCGATTGGTTGCAGGTCACTGTGGTATGGAGGCGTATAAATAACTTGATGGCCAGCAGTTCTTACCTTAGTGACGACCTCAATATCGATCTTGTCGACATGTACACGGAGTTTCTTCGACAAAGCCGCCTTCGTTTCGTTGGTTATTGTTTATTCGTACTCCATGCAAGCACTCTGTAGGATACTTTTTATTTTGGAGTTCCTATTGGGTGACCTATATTGTACGTAGTACTCCGTAGTAGAGAACCGAGTAGTAGGAACTCGCGCACAGTGGTATTTTGAAATATATGGGGAATTGTATGCGAATGCGCAAGTTGTGATTCCGAGTACGAATTATAATTTTGCAATCAGATCAATCTGATTAATTTTATTATATCCAATCATACAATTTACAAACTTTTTATAAGCATACTATTGGTTAAAATATAAAATATGAAAAAATACTATTGGTTGACGTCGGAATTTATGAATGCTCCATGGAAAAAAAATAGTGTCGATACCACTGTGCGCGAGTTCCTACTCGGTTCTCTGTACTGTATAACAGAATTGTTCAATCCAAGGTCTTCTATTTGAATACTAGTAAGAAGTTTAGTAACACAGTTACATATTATTATTCGCTTGAACATCTTTATGTTGATATTTAGATTTGTAAGTATGCGTATTTGTATTCATCTCATAATTATTTACTACGTACCGTATAGCGTAATTCGGATCGGACGGCTAAAGTTATTCGAGTCAGACACCTACTAGATTGATATTACGCTGTAAAGTTACAATCACTCAGCGGGCACTTACTGGAATGCAACACCCACCTTGACTTCGAGTTAGACGGTGAATTCTACAATCTGATTGGTCATGGTACTTCGATGTTCGAAAATTAATGCAGCCTATTAAAGACCGCCTTCAAAAATTTAATCATTTCAAGAGGAAATAATATTCTACATCAAAAGAAGGCGCAAGAAGGACACTCAAGAACTTTCAAGCTAAGTATTTAGAGGTGAAGAAAAGCAATACTTTGATTGATACAATGGATGACGTACAAGCGTAAGCGTAGCTCAGTGGTTAAACACGTTGTGTGCCTTGAGCCCCGGGCGCGTCGAACTTTTTTTTTATAAAAATTAACTTCACTAAATATCAAGAATTTTGTATGAAATAAAATGAATTTAAATTGCAAAAAAATATTTGTATTCAATTTACACGATGTGCCTTGGCATATGCCTGTCGAATGATGTCAGCAGTGACCATATCCCATGCAGCAATGGCACGCAACACCATGGCCATTCGCTTTTGACGAGCAATTGGTAAGTACGGATCTTCATCGTCGTCCCCTTCAAGCTGCTCTTCGTACAACCACAAGTTTCGTAGGTTGCACTTGAACGGCGCCATCACCCTGACGTCAAGTGGTTGGTATACCGAGGTTGCGTTCGGCGGCAGCGCACAAAGGTGGGAGCCAAGTTCTTCATGCATGATCTTGTACGACTCATCCGAGATGTGGCACTCAAAGCGACAGGCCAGAGGCGACAACAACTTCACCAGAGCGCGCATCTTGTCCATTAGAACCACAAATGGCTTTTCGCAGGTACTGTTTCCACACCACCGCATCCATCCATGCATTCTCCTGCATCGCGTAGTGATGGCCACGAGGTAACGTAGGAAACCCGTTGGTTTCGATGCGCGCCCCGCGTACTCCCTTCATGATCAATATTAGGGGCAGCTTTTGACCGTCCGATCACGCGTTTAGGACTGCTGTCATGCGAATCGAATGCTTCTCCCCCGTCGAGATCTTATCGCTGCCGCCAAGTACAGAAACCCCGAAAACCTGCATAATACAATACTGATGAAAAATACGAATTGAAAATACCTCATTGTACCAATTACCTTGCAGAAACTATACAATGGCGCCACCGCTCGAGCCTCAGTACCTTCGGCTTTCTACTGGGCGACCTGTCATCAAGAACACGAAGAGAAGTACCCACAAGCATCAACGCGAATACAACACGTACGCTATAAAGCTGCACATCATCAACTGGCGCGTCCAACACTTCATGGAGTCGGCCATCAACACGTACGCTAAGAAGCTGCACATCATCAACTAGCGCGTCCAACACTACATGGAGTCGGCCATCGACACCTTCTTCAATGGAGTTACTTGAAATGAGCGACAAACTGTGTAGAAAAGGATCTTGCGACGGGAATCTCAACGTGCTCACATTACACGCGCTGCCAACCAGCCATCAACTAGCCAAATGCGAATTACACGTCAACCAGGAACCGCCACAACGCTCTCCTACAGCGACGAAGAGAACATTGCTCTCTGGGTTGCAGAACTTCGCCAAGACGGTGTACCCGTCAGCAACCTTTTGCTTCAATGCAAGGCATTGGAAGTTGCGGTTTACCTGGGCCTATCCAAAGATCAGTTCAAGGCAAGTCCATCATGGATCAAGAGTTTCATGAAGCGTTGGGGATTTGCCATACGAGCCAAAATACGTTCCGGCCAGGCCAACCTTGAAGTCGGACTGCAGGCTCTAGCAGAGTTCAAGACAACAATCAGACAGATCATTCTGGACAACGACATCGAAGGCATCAACAACGCAGATCAAACGGGGATTAACTACGAGTACATACCGAATCAAACAATCAACAAGGAAGGCGCGAAGACTGTGTGGATCAAGTGCTCAGGCCACGAAAATGACCGAATGACCGCCATGCTTCTGGCTGATGCTAAAGGCACCAAATACCCGCTGTTTTTGGTCCTAAAAACACAAGCGTCAAAAATCAAGACTGTCGTACAAGAAACCTTACCCAGCGAAATGGCTTCGGGCGTCGTGTTTGGAATGAAATCAACGATTTGCACGACAACTTTCCCCTGCGCATCTACGGCAACCCGTCAGCTTGGTGGAACAGCGACATCTCACTACATTTTTTGGAATACCACTTTGGCCACCGACGAGGCACGTCTGCAAAGTACGTGCTGCTCCTGTGGGATGACTTTAGTGCTCATTTTACCGAGAACGTTACCGTCCGTGCCGAAGAGCTACGAGTGCTCCTTGCTCGCGTGTCGCGAACGTTTACTTGGATGTGCCAGCCTGCGGACGTTGCCTGGATGAAACCGATCAAAGCGTTAATGTGAGTTGAATTTTTGTGTACCCAAATTGCTGAAAATCATGGCGGCGGGGGCAAGGCTTTCCGACTTCGCAGCCCGGATCGCTGGGACTTGGTTGAATGGATTTCGGACGCCTGTAACACGTAGCCTACAAGCACAATCATCAATGGATTTGTGAAATGTCAAATCATCGACCCCCTGGAAACGCCATGGAGACCTGCGACTTCATTGCTGAAAATATCATGACCGGTCAAATACTACTCCCTCTGATCCATTTTACTTGCGCGAGTTTTAGGACGGAAGACATGACATGAAATTAAAATACGAAGTGAAATTCAAAATCACCTTCGTCCCCCCTGAAAGTGAAGAACTTTGCTTTCAGGGGACGAAGATGATTTTGATTGAGCGCGAAACAGGCTAAATCATGTATTTGTAGAGGCAAATGCTGACATGGACGATTTGATTTCCGAGTTTTCTCGTCGCCATACATATGTTCGTATAAAACATACATTCTACTGATCAACACTCCATCTTGTTGCCTTGCCTCACTTTAAATGGCGCCAGGTCGGCGCGAGTTGACAAACACTGAGCGCGAGGCAATCCTGCGAGAGGCTCTGATACGTAGCAATGGAACCGTCATGACCAAGATGCCTAACGGGTCGGCTCCGAGCTCGCTGCCAAGTACAGCTGCCATGTGTCATGGATTCACCGTATACTGAATTGGCACGTGCAAAAGCGCAAGGCATTTGCGATGGCAACATGCTGGTGATCTATAGCGGTTAATACATTTGTGTTGTATAAACGCTAACAAGTGGCGCATGCAGGTCAAGTCAACATGGATAGTTGGAAGAAAGGGCGAGTAGGTCCTAAAGTCGCGCACACTCTATCTCGGTGTAAACCCCCTCCTGAATCGAATGGTGAGGCCCGATAACGTTATCGTGAATTTTGGTCGATATGCGACATGGAAATTCTAACCATACACCCTTAATAATACGTATTCGACATCATAAATTTTATGAGGGTGTTATGATTTAATTCAGGGAGGCATACGGCAAATTTTCTTATCGCGCAAGTAAAGTGGATGAGAGGGAGTACAAACTGTCGTAGATCGTGGTGAGTATAAAGTGGTTGAGTTGGCGGAAGATCTTACTGAAGAAGTGCTTGATGACGCTTGAGGACTACAAAAAAGCGAATCATGCTTTTCGATATTACATGAAATAACATACCGCTTTGTGGGTTTTTGGGCACTGTGGACCTTTCCTGAACGAGCACCATGAGTTCAGGGACTCCTCTGAATACCAAGGGAACAAGACAGGCCGATATCCGGCCCAGAAATATCAACGGGCGAGGCCGAAGCGGTCCCGTGACTTCAGGGAACGCGGCCCATTTGAGACTGTGTTCGGAGTAAAACTGGATTCTGACTCCAGAATCCGGAATCTGTGGATCTAGATTTTGGAATCCGGATTCCATCGAATGGCTATGAATAACTGGATCGAACATGATTTGAGTCGAATGCACACATGTCAACACATTTGGTTTCACAGTGTCAAAGTCCTGGACTACCATGACGACACCTACTAAGCCAGCCAAGTGGAACCTGGAGCTAGAAATAGAGTTCATCGCCCTTGTCCGCACAGTTGCACGTGTACCAAGGTTCAGAGCAGCTGGTGGTAAGAGCCTCCGTGCCGAGGGCTGGAGAGATGTCCTCAAGGGCATGCATGCATGGGAGCCATCAATCAAGTCCAAGGACCAGCTCAGCAACAAGTGGAAGCGACTCAAGACCGACTACACTGATTACCACTTCCTGGTCACGTGCTCGGGATACGGGGGTGGCTTTTTGGACGTACATTGGTCCCTCGACACGGCTCGTAGCGGTGATGCTTATACTATCATGAGAAGTTGTCCTAATCAACATGTCTAGGGAAATCAAAGCTGGCACGGTTTCGCGATGAGCCATTTGAGCATTGACTGGCATTGACGATGTTTTCGGCGGCGACGGCGGCGTTCTTGGCGAACGTGCTGGGGACGGGAACGACGGCGATGATGCTGAACCGCCATTTGCTAATATCGATGAAACCAACGAACGTGATGTCGACGCGGCTAATGTTGATCAAGACTTAGCTCGGCCGGGTGACATGGCGTCGGCAAAGCGTCGTGCAGCTATCCTCAACAAGCTCAAGCAAAACAGGAAGCAGAAGTCCATCGACCAAGATGACCCCACCCACCTGCTACGTGTGGAGGCAACGACTGCAATGACGAAAATTAGCAACTCCTTGGGTGATCTGGTGCAAGTGTTTGCAGCACGCCATTCGCAGTAGAACAACTAGCTTGAATAGAGGAGTAATCAAGTTTTCATGAACATAACAGTGATATCATTGAAATTTGCTTTGCTTTAATATAGTCGGAAACGTGATACTTTGGATAATGCAACGTTACATTTACAAGGAATGTTTTCTTCGTTGTGGAAGATGCGAAGATATGCCGATACGAAGATGCAAAAATATTGAAAAGAGATATTTATTAATTTACAAGGATTGTTTTCTTCGTTGTGGAAGATGCGAAGATATGCCGATGCGAAGATGCAAAAATATTGAAAAGAGATATTTATTAATTTACAAGGATTGTTTTCTTCGTTGTGGAAGATGCGAAGATATGCCGATGCGAAGATGCAAAAATATTGAAAAGAGATATTTATTAATTTACAAGGATTGTTTTCTTCGTTGTGGAAGATGCGAAGATATGCCGATGCGAAGATGCAAAAATATTGAAAAGAGATGTTTATTAATTGATTTCTTCGTTGCGGAATATCATGTAACTGTTTCACATATCGTTGGCAAGCACATCGCGCCATTCACCACTGTCATGACTTTCGAACCGTTCTGTGAGTTTTTCGAGCTCATGCGCGATGTCCGCTGCGCCTGCTGTGTCATCATCCGAATCATCGGCACCAAGGTCGGCGCCGCATGCCAGTACAAAGTTGTGCAGGGCGCAACACGTGTGGATGACGATGTTGACCAGAGGAATCTCGAGTTCCATCGGCTTGGCGAGAATGTCCCACTTTCGCTTCCGCCTGCCAAAGGCTCGACGATGATGCGCGTCTTCGAGTGCCGGTAGTTGAACACTTCCTTGTTATTGCGTTGGCGGCCATCTTCGTCTTCAGCCCACTCACGCAAGTGGTAGCGGGTGGAGCGGTACGGTGTGAGGATTGAGCCTGAGAGTCCGTAGCCTGCGTCGCCGAGGTAGTAGCAATTCTCTGGGATCTTGCTTCAAAAGCTTGTGCACGCACGGTAAACAAAGCTCTCGCTGGCACCCCCTTCAACACGGCAAGAAAGCGTCCATCAGCGTCAACTACGCCAAGGACGTTCGTGCTTGTGTATCCTTTTCTATTGAAATGCGTAAGTGATTCAGGTACATAGGCATAATCTGACGTACCGGTTGCGATATAATCTGACGTACCGGTTGCGATATCGATCGGTCATGGTCTGTGGTACGACAAGGGCAGTGTGGGTACCATCGATAGCACCGATACATCCAGCAAACGTCGGCTCTTTTGCACTAAAGGATGTCTTGGAAGACGCGAGTCGAAGGGGGTCATTGATGTCATTCCCGTAAAAACCATCCTCTACTAGACCACGAAGTATGGCTTTGATGCCAAGACAACGTAGGCTGTGAATTGTAGAATAAGCTTTATCAAGAAAAATTGTTCTTGGGCGCGTGCAGAAGCGCCATGTAGCTCGAACTTGGACGAATAAAACGTAATGCAGGAGTCAATGGGACGCTCGTATCATCAAATACAAACTGCTCTGTGTAGCTAGTGATCGCAGCAATGGTCATACCGACTGCCACGAGGAGCAACCTTTTTGCTTCATCCATACTGGCTGGCTGCTTTCAGTAAAACAGGAATATGAGTAATATATGAATTCCAGAGAATCCTCACTGGAAATCAACGAAATTGATGGTTTCCAGAATCCGGATTCTTGGACAAGAATCAGTTTATTTTGGTCAATCGAACACGAAAAATCGGACACTGGAGTCTGAATCCACAAAATAAGGTAACTGGCACATTCCATCAACAACCTCGTCACATCTTTTCCCAATTGACAAATCATCTAAAGTATCAATACTGTACTCTGTACTATAATATTTTTATGCGGCAATGCCAGGAATAGTTTTCAAAGTTCCCACTCGGCGCAACTATATCCCTTATCACTAATATAAACTCCAACAGCACATAATATATCAATTTATAGAGGGAAATTTTTGGAGGTTTTTGCGCGCGGGAAGCAACAAGCCCTTGTCAAGCTTGCACAGGGCCCTTTGCACGACCGACCCGACGCATGAACAACCTAAACGCCCTTTCTGCCCAACGGAGACCATCCACGGGCCGCCCAGTGTCGAAGTATTGTGCAAAGAAGTTGCCGAAGAAGTACAAGAACGTTATGGGAGACTACGTGAGCGCAAGACTGCAATTGACCACTACGACCTCCATGGAATGCAGTCCACTCTGGTCGCCATGTATGGCCGACTCACATCTACGGCTCGTGAGACTAAACGAAAACAAATATATTCATGGCTGTCCAACCCCTCCCACATCGAGAAGATAGCTTCGAGCCCGACCACGGCCAAGATGAAGTGCCGCCGAGCTGCTGGGACCGGCACGACTCTCACCAAGGAAGCCGAGGAGCAACTTGTCCAGTGGGTGCAAGCTATGCGCAACGACGGCGTTCCGGTTACCACCCACATGTTGTGTGTGATGGCACTTGAAGCAGCGATCGATCTTGTATTCAACGACGTCGAATTCCGAGCTGGTTGGCATTGGATGGATGGTTTTAAGCGGAGCCATGGGCTGTCCCTTCGTACATGTACCCGCATTCGCCAGCAGACACCCGAGGACGGTCTTGCAGTCTTGGGGATGTTCAGCGCACCTGTCCGCAAGATCGTCGAAGACGAGAACATCGACGTGGTTTACAATGTCGATCAAACTGCTGTAAACTACGAGTACTTGCCTACCAAGACGTTGAACAAAACTCGTCCACGGTGTGTGTGCGGTGGGAAGACTAAAGATCGAATGACGGCAATGTTCCTTGCCGACACAACCGGCGCTAAGCATCCATTGTTCTTGTTTCTTCGAACGACGAAGTCCACCGTAAAGGTAGTGGTGCAAGAGAACTTGACGCAACGTCAAGGCTTCGGCAAGCGCCTATGGGGGAGTGTTGATCCATTGCAAGTTAAGAATGATAGCCGTATCTTTGGCAACCCAACGGCGTGGTGGAACTCGCAAATATCGCTCAAATTCCTAGAGTTCCATTTCTGCCAGCGGCCTGACCGCCACACAAAGAAAGTGTTGCTCATCTGGGACGACTACTCGCCCATTTCACAGACGAAGCCGTGGCCTACGCAAATACAATCAATGTCGTGCTGGAGCGTGTCCCTCCCAACTACACCTGGATTAGCCAGCCTGCGGACGTCGCCTGGAACAGGCCACTGAAGGCTCGACTTCGATAAAACTGGCTTGATATGATTCGCCGCCAGTTGCTGCGTGCCAAGCAACGTGGCGAGACCTTTAAACTTGTGCAGACGACACGGGGAGACATCGTGTCGTGGGTAGCTGACGCGTGGAATGACATTAGCACGTCTACCATTCTCAACGGGTTCACGAAGTGTCAACTTGTTGATGGGTTACCTGCCATTGACGATGTGGACGAGGGGGTCCTTGAGGACGATGTCTTGGCGGCTTTGATGACGACTTAATCTATCGAAGAAACCATTGATCAGAGGATGGACTTTAGGGTCATTGATGAGGACGATGGCGCAACAGATTCGGTGGACATTCTTCAACAACTCTTTTAAATCATTCTAATTTTTGTATGATTTGTTTTAGTTGTTTACTCTCTATTTTCTGCTAACCTGTGTAATTTTATTACTGTGCACAATCGATCGTGTTGAAGTCAATTCTAAGTCAGAGCATGATTCTGGAAATTGTATGTCTGATGCGAAAAGGGAAAATTTGTGGCATCGCGCTGTATTTCCGGTTTCGGATACGACACATGTCTGTCCCATCCAAATTACGCTATTCGGTAGTACGTTTTGCAAAACAATATATCCTGCAGATTGTGCATGCATACATGCGGGAAAGGCGCGATGCAGGTCAGCGATTTCTCAATGCATAATGCACAACGGGTCACGAAACTCTCTATTCCTCATAACAACAACCAATACTATGAAGATCACTACTGTATGTTGTATGTCACCTGAATCAACAGCTGTAGAGAAAGACAACTTCAAACTTGTCAAATTCGTCGTATTTCAAGAACAAGCGTGTACATTCGTATAAGATGCCTCATGTCAGAGAGAGCCGTGTATGCACAGACCATGCTGCATAGGCTGAGCTAGTCACAGACTATCTTGTAGTACGAGTAGTATTGTTGAATGTATTACAAGGCTCGAGAAAAGCGTCATCAAAGTTCGTCCATTGTCGATGTATGCGCATGTCGACATGTCGTTCGAGTACAAAAACAAATGCACATGTGCAATAAAATAATGCATCCGCAAAAATAATGAAATATCCGGAACTGCTCAGTTTTCAAAGTGAAACGGCGCGCATTTCGACTGCAAGGCATCGCAATTGCAGTGAGCTGTAGAAATCGTGTCAGTACAGCAGCCAAAGTCCCTCTCCAACAAGTTGGATGATTGCAAAGAAACTCCAGATATTGCTTTCGCCAACCATGAATGCCTCGATTTTGGCCTTCCATAACTTCATGTTATGATGAGCTTTCGCCAGTTCCCGCATCTTCCTCCGATTTTGAAATGACTAGGCCAAAATCGTAGGAAGATATAAATTCATCCGGATAAAGTATTTGTAGATGTGAGCGCAATCCATCGATATAAACATTCAGCCTTGTACGGCCACTTCCATTGAGAAAAGTTTAGTGCCTTAAACTCTCCGGAAGTGGATGTGCTGTTGTCCAGAACACTTTCACTACAGGCTCCTTGCAATACACATTCTTTCAGCTTGCATCAAGGTCCCGATTGATATGGACGCAGGCATATATTCTTTCCCACCACCCGAATTACACAATGATATGGACAAGGGTGGGTTGTTGCACATGGCCTAGGAGTTGCTAGTTTTTGTAGGAATGTGTACGCACACTGTGAAGTGAGCGCACTTTGCAGGATGTTGTCACCCGCACTTAAGATATATGTCCTCATATGTGCGCTTCGGTGTCTGACCAAGGAGCGGCCTTCTACTCGTAGCTAGCCAGTAGGGTAGGGGAAATACTCCACATCACTCATCCTAATTCACTCTTCGTTTTCCCCTGTTCTGCACTCTTGTCCTCCTGGACATCCGCTGTACTCGGTCGCTGACCTCCTCTTTGCCTTCTAAGTGCTTGGGCCTACTTTGCCTTCTTGACAAGTTATGTGCCCTCACGCAACCTCGGCGCCGCTCTACAGAACAGAACGTTTCTTGAATGGAAACCGCTGTTCATTAGCCAAGCCGATGGCCATGAGTTTACTCAATTCTTCCTCAACAAGGCTTATGTGTATTCAGACCTTGAGCGGTCTATCTAGTGTATCCTGGATGACGATGTCCAAGTCGACAAGCTTAAGCACCCCGAACTCTACTCAGTTGACGCGGACTTTAGTGGTGATGACCTAACCGCACGATACAAGGCGATCGCTACTCACATCCAATCGGTGAAGAGTGCTAACGTAAAAGTCCATTTTAAGAACACTTTTTCCGAGACGCTGTAGTGGACGGCATGTACTGGGAAAGACGGAACGTAAGGCCCATCGAAGTTTTTTGTGAGTATCAGAAAGTTTTATCCAATCAAATTTGAATATCAAAATCCTTATGTTTCATTGGTGGAATTTAAATATTTCCCGCGCGCGCCTCCTTGAATTTAATTCCAACACACACATCCAAATACGAATGGCGCCGCCATTCGTATCCAATTTCAACCAAGCTCGAAGCGTTAGTTCTACTTGAGACTGCGAGCGACCGCCTTGTATCCAAGGCTCTCGGGATCCCTCGACGAACACTTCGCAACTGGACAGACCAACACTTCGAACTGCTATCCTACGACGGCAACAAGAGAACACGAAGTTAGAGCCTCGAGGGCGCTCGGAGTCATTCCCAGATCCTCCAGGACTGGTCCAATTCATACAGCGACCAACGAGGAACAAGCTCAAACAGTCGGTCCTGTCTGAAGTGCACGATGAATTCACCCAGGAGTTTCACCGGGAGTATGTGGCGTATGGTAAAGATTGTGTATACAATGTTGACGAAAAGTACGACTTGCCTCCAAGCTACATCTGGGCCGTTCAAGGTGGCAGATCTCCGTGGGCGAGAAACACTCCATGCTCATGAACTCCGTGTTGACAGTGCGTGCCGACGGTTTGAAACTGCCCATACTGTTCATTATGAAGGGGCAGCCGGGTAGACACATTGAATCAAGCGAGTTCCCTACATTCCCAGAAGACCACCATTATGCTATGCAGGAGAACGCGTGGATGGATCGTCGGGTTTGGGCTCAGTACCTTCGCGACGTGTTGGGCACCAACTTGGAGGAACCATCTGTGGTTCTGATGGACAACTTCGAGGCTCACGTGTCCGACGAGTCCTACAAGATAATGTATGAGGAGCTAGGTGCTCACCTATGCGCCTTACCCCCCAACGCCTAGGAACAAATCCTCGGTAATGATGATGATCCGTTCTCTCTTACCGCACGTCAGAAGCGCAAGGCCATGGTGAATCGAGCAATTTCCGCGTGGGACATGGTATCTGGCGACGTCATCCGTCAAAGTTTTGTGAAGGCATTGCCCGAGTCAGTGCCAGCGTAGATAGAATTACATTTAATGTCATTTGCATCTTTAAGAATACTTCGAAATTATTATCGGAAAATTTCAAACTTTTTTTTATTAAAATACGTTTGCAATATTGCAATAAAAATGTTTGACGCTGCCCGGGATTTGAACCCGGGCCAACTCGTTGTCAACCAGTGTCACTTACCACTGCGCCGCGCGTCAAACGCTTACGCTTATGCCTGTCCCATTATATCACCCATTTGTTCTTCGATTTGTTGCACTTTTCAATAATGATGTACTCCTTAATTCATTGTTTTGTTTCATTACTTGGCCTACAATTGCTCTGGAAGTCTGACGTGGAATTGTATTACCTGCAAAAGTAATTATAAAAATATTGTAGTACACTGTGATAGGCTACATTTATTTTCGAACTTCGAAGTACATTGGCCAATAGGAAGGCACATTACTACATGAACTCGAAGACAATAGTGGGCCTTACGTTCCGTCTTTCCCAGTACCTCGACTCGTAGGTATCAGATTATAATTCTACAATATCTGATATGAAGCCAAAATCCAGGCCTATTCGGGAGTTATAATGCGATATGATTCCTGTTACAGTTCACTATCTCTTAAATTGAACTTTTACGTTACTTTGAAAACGAAACTACCAAGGCGCTGTCTCGTCAACGTGCTCTGGCGCTAACGTTGCTGAAGTTATCGATGGAGGATTCCCTGCGGAAACTGTTCTCCAACATTTCCTGCCCTTTTAGTCTGTTTGAGTCAATTGTGTCTCGTTTCGAGAATAACCCACTCATCAGTGACCCTGCGGTGCTTAATCCCAGAAGATGAAGGGCCACGATGGTGACTGCCTGGACACTCGCATGGCCGACGTCAAGTCCATCGCGAGTCAGTATCGTGCTGCCAAGATCCCTTCATTGCTGGAGATCGCAGCGTCCAATTACGATGCATTTCTAAATGCAAACCAATACATGGTGAAACTGTCGGAATTATTTTTAGACGACAAGCAAATCTGGGGCATCATTCGTGCTATATCGAGCAACGCCAAGGCCTCGGGTCAGCCATGCTCCGTTGCATCCATCGACAGGGACATCAAGGACGCACTCGCGACGCGACACCTTCGTTTGCTTGCACTAGGCGAACATGGGACTGCTGATGCACACTCGCTCGCATTTTATTAACGCAACTGTCGTCAAAGCTGCCTCTAGTCCCGTTGGGCTAGTGACGTCACGCTCGTTACCATCGTATGCCCACCACAGTGCCACAATCACCCTAGACCTGCGTGCGTCTATTATGGCGATACTGCTCATGTGGTGAAGATCGCACTAGTAATTGGCGTGACAGCGGATATGGCGGCCGCAGCCGACAAATCACTTCAATCCCGCAGGACAATCCTGGTGCCCACCCCATCACGCTTTGTCCACATTCGATGACCGTGGCACAGTCCATGAGGATGTAATTACCCCCGCGTCCGACAACCGTGGTCGCAGCCGTCATCGTGACCTCATGGCACTCGACAAACGTGGTTGCATCATTGCTGCTAATTCAGCGCAATCCGGGTGTCGTAGTGCCAACCCTTTAAGTAGCAGTCTATCTCCGGATCGTGCTCGCACTAGCCGCACCGAACGTCAAAGCCAAGTGTCCCACTCCTTCCGACCTTTCCTGTGGCTCACGAGACCTCAGTGCCGATGATCAGCCCTCGAAGCGACTTCGGCGTTCTACATCACTCACTTCTCCACCCTGTGATGATGATCCGTCTGCACGTGCTACCGTTAGGCCGGATGGTCGACTACCCATGGCTTTGATAGCCCCCGTCAAAGATGCCACATTACTCCTGGTATCCTTACTCGCTTGTTCCCCCCTAAAACCACTGGGATTTGCCAAGCCAACTTGTCCTTGAAGAACATGTACGGAGGTTGCCTATGGTATCACGTGATATTCCTCCCTCGCTGAGTGACGCCCCACCAGCTACCCCTGTGCGCATTGAATTTGCTTAGCCACCACGTTGTGTGGATTCCACTGTGGCTCATCCACCATTTCATGTGGTTGTGGATTCGAACAAGCAATTTGCACTCAAGGTCGTCCTCACGCAATGTGCGCCAAACACCGGCAAATATTGACCTCCCCCCTCCGTCGTATACCCACCTGGCAAGTTTGCTACTCTTGCCCAGCATTGGATCGTGGACTTTGGACAACACGAACATTACTGTACAGGTAGGTGACATTTCACAACTGATCGACATTTGGGTTCGAGAAAAAATATCTCCTTCCCGGTATTCAAAATATAAGGATTCTACTACGATATGTATGTGAACCTTTTGTAGTCTCAATGAATGTAAAATGTATCGGTACATAAAGTGCTGGACACAAAGAAAGGCAATCGACATCAGCCCTAGATGCCACCACCGTTTTGACGACACAAAAACGTTTGTTCGTCCTTGCGAAGGTCGTGCCAGTAGTACTGTAGTCTATCCGGGCCGTCGAGGTTAAACATTTTCTCGTCCGAAAAGATCATGGTGCCCACTTGGTGCCGAAGTAAACGTGGTCCTTGGCCCATTCCACGCGTGCTTGCTTGTGTGCTTTGGTGAGACGTGGAGTTGGCTTTCGCTTCTTGTACTGGAAGTGGGTTGTCTTGTTCAGCAAACGCCGGACCGTGCGTGGAGACACGTCGAGGTCCAGGTCAAATTGGATTCGAGAAGAACTCGATCTCCCTCTGACGCAACCCGTGGTATTCGCCTTACTTCGCGTGCGTTCATTTTGGGCGGACTGCCGGGGCTCTTTTTCGTTCCATAGGCCTCCAGGTCCTTCAGGTAGGCCCATATGGTGCCGTTAGACAGAAACACCTTGGTGATTCGTCGGATCGACCAACCTGCCTTGTAAAAGGCAAGGACTGAACCACACTCGTCCAAGGTCAAACGTTCAACTTGTACCATCTACAAGGAGTATTGGCTTGTTCAGGATGCTTTAAATATCATTTGGGTTGCATGTTGTGAGTTTCTGAAGTACCTGACGACCTTAATTGCTCGGTCTACGCTCAAAATTGCAACTGTACCAATGTTTTTTGACATCCGTGTTACGATGGGTAATATGTCGATATTGAATAATTACATGTGGGAAGTATGAAAACCTCTCACAATAGATGTTTGGACTGGTGTCACCCACCTGATACCATACATTAATCAAGTCTGGTGAGTGTATCACTTTTATAGGCTGACTGGCATATTTCTTCTATTCATGGAGCAAAAACTTGTAAAGTTTGTTGCTCAAAAGTGAATGAGTGATTTGCCAAAAAATATACTTGCTTAAATTATTGCCTAGGACGCGCTTCGACGGAAAAAACTATCATTTTATACAGAATAATTATATTCACAAGGAATATTCATTGTGCAAGTCATGATGTTTGTGAAACTGAGCAAATCACGAAATATACTGACAATCCGCGAAATATAATGAGTGAATTCGATGTTCCCACGAAACTAAATGCCGAGGTCGAGAAATATAATGAATTTCCACGAAATTAAATGGGATTCCGCGAAATATACCTGATATTTTTCGAAATTAACCACAAGAAGGTGTAGTGTTAATAGTAACCTTCCTTATACGGTGCGCCCGATCTGAAGCCTGTAATTTCTGCATAATGGTTAACTGATGAAAGTATAATGCTTGAGGGCGGGTTTGGATGGCACGAAAAATGGCATAAAATGGCCGTTTTTCCAAGAATATATTCCATTTATTGAGATTTTGTGCGTCTGGATGCCATTAACTATAAAGTTCAAAATTTTATGCCACAGTTTTCTTGAGCATCGGGTGATTTATGGCATACAAGGAACGACGTTGAGTAAGGCCGCGCGAAAATAATTCTATAATTAACCAATCTCATTCTCATATTCAATTTTATGCAACATATTTATATAAAATGATTTCGCAGTAATTTCAAATAAATTTGACAGCCACCTACCTCCACAAGTCGATAGCTTCCTCAAATGGCTACCCAGGGTGTGCTTACATACCCGAAGGGCATCACGCACAGAACGAGGCCGTCAATCGCACAGAAGCTGCACGCTGTACAGATTGCCACAGCGTCAAGTGTACACCATGCCGCGCAGTCCTTGGGATACGGCGAGCGGACCGTGCGACGTTGGGTCATGGAGCAGGATAAACTACGCAACTTCAGTGGCTCCAAAGCGCGCAAGCGAAACACAGGAAACTGTGAAGCAGTGCCCATCATACCAGATGGCCACGACCTCGTTATCCACATGAAAGATCTCCGTCGTCAAGATCTGGCTGTGACCTCTTCACACATGCTTCAGTTCCTCCGCGCGGACCATACCGACTGGATTGAGAACTACAAGTCGACACGCAAGACTGGGTACAAGTCGTTGCTACGGCTACTCAAGCACTTCGCTGACCGCCATGGCTTTTCCAAGCAGCGAATCTGCAGGCAGAAGAAGACACAGGAAGACCTTGAAGCAACACGCCTCGAATTCGGACGGTACTTCCACGACAAGTATCATGGGGTAGCAATGGACACTCTTTACAACGCTGACGAAACGGGAATGTACTACGACATGTGTCCAAGTACGATTTGGGCTGTTCGTGGTGGTGGTAGTTATGTCGCCAACTCCGAAAGTCACTCCTACCGTATGACCGCGCTGCTCACGATTCGTGGAGATGGTGCCAAGCTGCCGATCTTTTTGTCATCCGTCGCGAGGTTGGTGGCGGCATTGAGACCAACGAATTCGACGAGTAATCCCCGGACCACTTCTACGCCATGCAAAAGAAGGCGTGGATGAATTATAATGGATGGTATGGAAATACTATCTTCGTGAGGTGCTCCATTGTGGACCCATCAATTCTCCTGGTGGATAACTTCGACAGCCATGTCAGCGAAGAAAGCGAGTGTATTGTCCGCGACGAGCTTGGAAGTGAACTGTGTCCACTTCCACCAAACAGCACTTCTCATTGTCAGCCGTTGGACATTTCTATTATGGGACCGTTCAAACGGCATCTACGTGATTTGTGGGTTGTCACTCAGAACACTGCAATAACTGCACAAGAAAAGCGCATTGCCAAGATTGTGAACGTGCAATTAAGGCGTGGGACATGATTTCTGAAGACGAAGTGCGAGCAAGCTTCGTTAAGGCCTTGCCGAAGTCGATGTAGATTTTAGAATGTATGTTGAATACTCCAAATGATTGTTTTTATTTTTTTGTTTTGTACTTGAAATTTGTATACATTTTTTAACCTCGGCTAGGATCGAACTCGGGACGAATTGCAATGACTGGTACCCTTAATTTGCTCATAATGCTTGTACGGACACACCGGAATCTTGCAGTGAGCATTGCGCGGCTGTCTGCCGTCTGTTCTAAAGGGGGAAATCGAGGGGGGGGGTATTAGAGACTCTATGGCTTGAGACCATTGACCCAATCCGTATATTTTTATTTTGTCTTGAATTCACTATGAAATATAATAAATTTATGGGTCGTGTCACGTTTTTAGTCATTGGGTTCCTTCAGCACCTCGAAGTGTGTAACGTTCTCGTGATAATATGAATGCGCATCATTGTATTCCTGTATCATTCAGTATCCTGTGGAAATAGTTGTTCGTAAGCGTTTTCTGCTTCAGCATAACCATATACATTGATAACCTGTAGAAACCTATAGCGTAATTCAATGTTATCATCTTTAAATAAACTGATGATGGGTGAGGTGTAACGCAATTGGTCAATACAAACGGACTCTCTATCCAATCACAGCGCTCAAATCCGGCATGTTCACGTTGAAGTCTTGCACTTCACAGTCAATCTGAATTCAAATAGTTTTTCCATACTAGTAATTCAATTGACATCCAGACAACTTTGTAAATACTTCTTTTCTCCTTTTGTTCATGCGATATGACATATGACGCTTTGGCATTTTTTTGTAGACTTACCAAAACGGTTTAAACGCCGCAGGACAACGATTCGTGTTTAATGCGAAAATCCAGTTTACTGTTAGTGCGTGTTCGAAGCAAATATCACAAATAATTAATAAATCGAAGTCCGTCGTTATGGTATGGCATAATTTTATGGGTTAGAAATTCACATTATACTTAATGGGGTTGAGTTTCCAATGACTAACAACATACTAGTGTAACTACTAGTACTACTAGTAACTATACTACTAGCAATTACTGGGAGGGAGATGAAAGTTCTGGAATGTTCGCTGGCACAGATACGATGTAGCTGGGCGAAACTTCCGAGCCAATCAGATGGTCCGAAAAGGTTTCGTCGCCAATCTGAAACCACGCGGGTGTAAAAATACGGCGGAGGGGGATGAGCAAGGCCGCTTGAGTGGTGTAGAGGCGGTGAAAGATTCGGAGTGTGTGGAAGCGCTTCTCAACAATCGTGTTTTTGCGGCTCCTGGGTCGTTTTGGGTGGTCGGCAAAGACTAGCGACGCCAGTTCTGCTCGGATCCGTCTAAAACACCGCGAACATTTCTTGCATTTGTTGCCAAGGCTGGTTGGGCAGCGGTCACCAATTTCACCTGTTTTGGCTCTTGGGGCCGTTTTGGGCCGGCGGCGCGGCCGGGCACCGTCATTTCTTGTCCGATGGTCCCCAAGCTTAACGATCATGGCCGTGGCATGGCTACGGCCGTTTCGTACATCGGCGACCAAGGCTGAATCGGCGTCCGTCGCGTTTTCGGGGCGGTGGTCGTGATTTTCATGCTTTTCGGGCCGGGGGGGGGCATTTTGGGCGGTTGGAGCGGCCGGGAGCGGCGATTTCTTGTTCAATGATTCCCAAACTTTGGGATCATGGCTGTAGCATGGCAGCGGACGTTTTGTACATCAGCGATCACGGCTGGATTGGCGTCGGTTGCGTTTTGGGGGCGGTGGTATTGGAAAATAACTTGCGAAAATTCACTATATAATGCGTGCCCCTAAGTTATTATTACCAAATACAGTTGGCATTATCCGGCGCAGCATAGCTTATCCGGGTATGAGACCACTTATCCGGTCATATTTGGTTGACAGTCAATTTAGAACCATTGTGCGAGGACCAACTTTAGCCTCCATATATTTTGTCCATTTTGCGAATTTCTGCGATTGGATTCTCTTAGGCCCTGTTCGGGGAACAAAAACACACCAACACTGAACAATTCAACACTGAACGAATTACGTTTGATTGGCTGATTTATCCGTAAACCGGATGGGTTCAGTGGTAGACACGTCCAGTGTCAGCGATTTCAACACGGGACTCAGAGTCCCGTGTTGCAAGCATCAACCCTGAACTCCAATACCACTGAACCCATCATGACCCACTCATCAAGTTTCACTGACACCAAGCCTGCAAGGACATGGCAAAGAGGTCGGCAACTGAAGCTGCACTTGTCGAGAGCTTCGATGTGGGCCCTCCCAAACGGACCCGAAAACCAGCGAAGACCCAGTCGACGACGCTGTAGCACCCCCAACGGCACCCGTCGAACGGAAGCTTTTCTCCGGGCGCAAGAAGCTCAACAAGGCAGCGCGTGGCAAAGAGAAGAGCCCTTCGCATGCGGAGTCCTTGTTAAAAGGGCTGGAGTCTGTTGGCTCGGGTCTACAGTCACTTGGGACTGCAGTTACAGCGGCGCATTCAGTGCCGGACAATGCGATCAACAACAAGAATATTTCCTCGTTGGAAGTTCAGACCGCTGCAATCAATAGACAATCGGGACAGTTGGAAAGACTCCTTGAATTTCTAATTAATCGTGGATAAAAATCAAGTGAGTTTGAACAATGCTTGAGCTATTTTGTCTCTACGATACTTGGCTACGCCGCGTAAAGCTCCATCTGTCTCAAGAGTGTTTCGTTTGGAAGTCGGGATCGGTTGACAGTAATCGTTTCTTGTCGAGTCATCGCCTTCCCCGTCGAAGAGGGGGTCATTCATACGCTGCATCATGTTGTGCAAAACCATGCATGATATTACGTGCTTCACAGTCGTCTCCAACCGTTTCTCTGTCATCGGTCCCTTAAGCACGCGGAAACGCTCCTTGAGGCGACCAAACGCACACTCAACGGCCATACGGGTACTTGACAAGGCGTAATTGAAGTGCGCTTGTCGCGGGTTCAATGGGCCCCAACCTTCTTCATGTTGAAGGTATGGCACCATGAGCCAAGGGAACAAGGAGTAACCGGAGTCGCCAATTATATAGCACCCCTAGGGGGCTTTGGCGCGGAAAGTATTGCCCAGTTCCGACAATTTCCAGATCTTTTTGTCCGAAAACGATCCCGCCCGCATGTCCACACTCATGAACGACCCAGCGCTGTCGACAACAGCTTGAATGTTCAACGACGTGTCGCCGTGTCGATTGTAGAACCCTTCATGTAGACGTGGACGCAGGATTTCGATTAAGGTCCCATCTATTGCACCAACGACCCCAACCATGCCATTCTTTAGCTTGAAGCCATGCTCCACTTGACGCCACTCAATGTGTGAACGAGGGAGGTGAATCCACGACGATGCCATTGAGCTAAACACATCGGACATACACTCAACAATGTCCTTACACCACGACTTCGAAACTCCAAATACACCACCAACTTCTCGATAGCCACCACTTGATCCCATGAAGTACAGGTACACAGCAACCTTTTTTGCAAAGGTGTGCGACTTTGCAAAGCGATCAAGGTTGAAAGCGTTCATTTGGACACGAAGTGTTGCACAGATTCGGATGAACGTTTCTTGATTGCAACGCAGGTTGTTTTGAAACCATTGGTCGTATTGGTTGTCCCCAAGCATTGAATCGAAGTCGATATCGTTGATGGTCAGTATATTGAATTTGGTTGATTTTTGTCTTTCAACATCACAAGCTAGCGCAACACACACACCCGTCACAGCAACAGCGGCACCATACACCGCTGAGATGGCATCACGCACAAGTCGTCCACCAACAGAAGCAGCAGCACCACCAACAGAAGCAGTAGCACCACCAACAGCGCCGACAATAGCACCACCGGCAGACACACAAAACGAAACAAAATCCACAACAGCACCACCGTAAGCAGCACCACCAACAGCCCCACTCACAGTACCAACACCACGTTCAGGACTGGCGACGGCACCACTAATAGCCACAGTACCAAGAGCAGCAGAACCAAGAGCGGCACTACCAGCGGCCACACCATCAACAGCAGCAACAAGCCCGGTACCAAGGAGACGCGACCAGAAAACTGTGGCGCCACCACGACCAGCTCCACAAACTGAATTAACGCCCAAAGCATCACAACGAAGTACAGCAGCAGCACCCAGTGCAGCGCCAACGACAGTGGCATCGCGAGCAGCAGAATCACCCAAAGCGGCGCCATCGCGACCAGCTCCATCAATAGCGGAGCTACTGACAGCAACACCATGAGAAGCAGCAGCGCCATCGATAGCCGCAGCAGCACCAACAGGCGTAGCACCAACACCAGCACCAGTATCAGCAGTTGCACCAGGAGAAGTACCAGTGACGCCACGAGCACCGAGAAAGCTAACACCACAAGTGCCGCCAGGGATATCGCCAGTGTGTCCAACATCCCCCATACGTACTACCGTATTTACCGTACATCTGTAACCCCCAAAATGTTTCTGAAATAGTTACAACTCATTGGTAAAGCTGAAATATATACCACTATTGTTTCCGCGCATTTGAATAACTATGATTGGACAAAATATTTCGCGCGGTTTCACATTTATTCAAAGTGCACGACATACACGTCACAGGCCAAATGACTGCAGAACCACCACGTAGCCGCTACAAGACAGGGAAGCACAAGGTCATATCCGTACGCTTCAAAATCAAAGTCATTCAAGCTTATGAGGCTGCACTTGGCCCTGCCAAGACATTCTATGCAATAGGCAAGGCCTTCGGCGTACAGACAGGCCAAGTGTCGCGTTGGGTCAAAGACAAGACCCTCATTGCCTCGCGGGCAACTGTGAACCCTTCGGCGCTTGTGATATGCAATAATACATGTCATTCAACATCAAAGTACATCATTGATTGAATGGATTGATTTTGCATTAACAAAGATCTATTGTACTCCTCAATGTGGTCCATCAGTACAGCTCTTACAAGTCCAAGGCACCTATTCGATCGATTGCGTTTCGAAGCACTGTTATCGACTCTGTAGTCTTCTACAACAATTGCAAATTTGTTCGCATACTTGGCTTTCGTGTTATCCAAACGACGGGGAAGAACGCCGACATGGC